TTTTTTGTCTAAAATGTACCTCAGCATGTGGACAACGCAAAGGGATGACATGTTCAAATGAACCAAGTCATGACGTTTCTGACATTACTGAATAATCGTCTCTTCATGTCCAGTATATGAGTGTAAATATATAGACTGTCTTGAACTTTAGACATTTAAATTGATAGTAAGTTTGACTTGTAAACTGTAGTATTGCAGGGTTATTCCCTCTTTATAAGCCCGTGTTAAGTATTTTGTAGTCCGATATGGAACAATTGCATTTTTTTCACATTTCGGGCAGCCGTAATTTATTTCTGTATAAGATTTCACTTCAAAATTGTTAAATATATATTCCCCTGTCTTGATCCTATGAAGTTGATTATAAATAGAGTCATCATCCATGTTTAGATTTTGATTGATTCTTTTTTTTTTACTTTTTCGATTTTCGTTAGTATTGATGGCGGCCATCTTGGATTTGACCTATTTTGGGTGTTTCCCCAAATCAAATTTTGGTAAACTATTTTTTTTTTTAAAGTAGACCTATCAAGGCAGTGAAATGTGTTAAAAAACCCTTTCCGTCAATTTTGTTGAACCTTCATGAAAAATAAACCTTTAATTACCGGACTAATACACGAGTGCCAGCACCTCGGTATAAATAAACGTGTGACAATGCATCATCCTATGGATAAACGTGTGTTTGTAGTCACGCGTGGCACCATGGAGACACGAATGACAGTACGTAGGCATATACCTACATCACGTTCATGTCTTTGCCTGTCGATTCACCTTTAGAATTCAGCCAACACCTTTAGAATTCCACACCATGATCGTAGCGCTGAGGTGATTGCCACTCATCGACTTTTAACTTAGACGAACGGCTGTCATAGTGGGCTACAATACATCGATCGCCTTGTGGAACGAGACCTTGCACCTCAAAGTTTACAAACACATCACCATACCCGATGACATGATTTGTGAAATGTTGTTGCAAAATCCTTCGCCGATATGACGTCAACCTAGCAACAAAGTGGCAGAGTCATCGACTGTGTATGATAAGCTCGTCTCAGTGAACTATCATCTCCACATGCCATCGCCACACACCCACCAAAACAAAACAAAACAAAGAACCCGACTCCCCTCCCGCCTTCCTCCCTTCACCACCACCCTCCCTTCACCACTACCACCTTTTCTATTTCTATTTTTAGAACAACAAAAGAACAACAACCATGTCGATCTTTTTCACCTTGTACGACCGTTTCTCTAGGTTTTCCCCATCCTCCCCGGAAACGGATGCGCCGCCATCTTGAAGGCGTACGCCACCGGACACGGATGCGCCACCATCTTGAATGCGTACGCCACCGGAAACGGATGCGACGCCATCTTGGATGCGCGCGCCACCGGAAACGGATGTGTCGCCATCTTGGATGCGCACGCAAGTCCCATCATGCCCCGCGCGCATGCGCAGGTCACGTGACCGGATGTGACGTCACAGAGGTCACGTGATCCTCTCGACCAATCAGAAGCCAGGAGCGGTCCTGGGGTAATGCGTACGACTACTGAGGGGGGTGTACTCCCTTACCACTTTTTTTCATGGAGGTAGTACCTGGACATGCTTTAAAAAGTAATCTGTTTATTGAATTTTCGCGTCATCTTCTTTCATGGAATGTCGTTACATTTACTAAAAGCCCAACCTTACACTGAAGTTAATTTAAAATGAGTCGTTTGGAAAACACTAATTTAAGACCGAAAACAGCGTTGCTTAGCGATAATGTATGAAAACGTACGGGCGTGGCAGTCATGTTTGAAAGGTGATCGTGGACGGTTTGTTCAGAGAGTTACCTCTAGCAGACACATTTTAAATGGCTTATGGGGAAAACGGATTATGCTTGCCTGTTAAGTTTGGGTATCAGCAGTTTACCTAATTAGCTATAAATATATGTTTGGTGAGTGTCCGGCTACTACCGCTGTCTGGGTACTGCCTCCCCCGCTCTCGTGCCTTTAAAAAGAATGGTGTGATTAGAATTTGAGAAATCTGGTGAGGAAACGTGTGCTGACATTATGTGCGTTTTCTTTTTACCATAAAACAATAATTATGAGTTACCGTATGCTCATTTACGTAACCATTTTGTATAACCTTGCTAAATCGAAGAAAGTATAACACTGCTCTGACAGCGCGGGCATGCATACTATGCATGGAGTATAATCAACTCCATTATTCTCGCAGCTGCGCCATGGACTGTACAACTTGACTCCCCCGATAACATGTGTATTCGAATTTTGCTAATTACACAATTCATAAACTGATGCATGTAATATGAGTATGCAATTAAAAGGACAAACATTTTATCATGTTTTATCAAGCTCACGTTAATAACCTGGACTACCACCCAGGCTCCCATTATCCATCGTCAGTCTGGAATACCACCCAAACTCTCTTAACTTCATCAATATTGTAATCGCTGATGCAAGCAGAGATACTTATTTAATTTTTCCTTTTAAGTATACATGACTTTACCGTTTGGGAGAACAAACTTTTTTATCACAAAATTGTACCATTGACAAAACCACAGGTATTAAAATTGTGTTATATTAAATGTTTGTTGAAGAGGAGCTACTTATATGACAAGGATGACGAATACAAAATACATCTTTTAATTTAAAGGGACCAGTTCGTCTGAATACGCACGTGATATTAAGTTGAACGTATATTATTTACAAAAAGCATAATTGTCATTATTTTGGACAATAATTGAGTTGTCAGACATTCCCTACAAACACAAAAATATTGCCTTTGGGTTGCATTGCCGTCAACATGTATATGTTAAGTCCCATGAACCTCCACCGGAAGGTTGGTCAGAGCATGTTTTGGGCAGTAAGAAACATCGCAATCGCTGCTACGTTGTGAGAAATGATGAAGGTGCCCGATGAAGCGAATGTGAAATATCGCTTTCCCTGCGTGTTCTGCGGCGTCTGTGCTCACTTCGCGGTGCATAAAAGTGGTACCTTTATGATACCTCCAAACAATTTCTATTTAGCCTTTAATGGTCAGATTGCATAATTATTACAGTCCATACGTAACGTAAGTCTTGTTTTACTCATATAGCATTTTTTACATCGCTTTAATTTTGCTGATTCCTCCCAAACGGTGATCGACCATGTGGTCCCTTTACTGGTGGTCTTCCCCATAATTTCAACGACTGTTTATTTATTCATTATCACCAAAGAAACAATACAAAATCATTACATCGTTCTGTGCGATGATGCAACTCAAGCTGTGCCCATTCTATTATCAGCCGACGAGGAAATAGTAGCCGTTCAGTTTTGTTATTAATTAGGTGGAAGAGGAAGATAGCTTCTTTGTTCATGAGAACATTTCAAACTATAGTTCAGTCAAGACCAATTGAATTTAACATTTAAATAGAGGTTATCACGCTTCTGTGTGTTTGGGGATGGTAAATATCCTGTGTTAGGAATAAGCATTAAATACATATTTATTCCTAATACAGGACATTTACCATCCCCAAACACACACAAGCGTGATAACCTCTATCATATAATGCCATTCTTCAATTCTGAACTTGAAAATCGCTTTCCTTTTCTCACAAACATTACCGAAACATTGCAAGTTTTCCTGGAATGTGCGCATTAATATATATTACGTCACTGGGTAAGTGATATGTCAGTCGGACAATGTCAGTAGCCAATATAGTTCCAACTGAAACATGTTTCTTATACAGTGGCGAACCAACATATACGCAAAACAACAATTGCCTACACGAATTGGTTTTTTTAATTGTTTTTGTTTATAATTAATTAAACTGAAAGTTGCTATATTTTAGGAATGAAAAAAACGTGTGTTTTTCTCTTCAACGAACACAAAATTATGAAGAAAAGAAATTCGGACTGCATGCTACTCAACGTGATGTGCCATAAGACATCAATGGTCGTTACAGGTGGTTGTGCCCAGAGAAATGGAAACGATACTTTTTTTTTAACTTGCAGGATTTTCTTTTCGAGGTACATGAACTACTGAAAGGTTTGATACATTCAACATTAACGGTTATTGCAAGTCATATTTGTCCAGTAGATCTACTTATATTCTATTCGCCGGTGCGCACCAGCACGGCTGTTAGCGACACACTGTTGAATGGGGTCGACAGTAGCATTCGAGAGCATTCAGAAAACCAATAATTCCATATTAAACGGGAAGACTGTTTTGCCTAGATGCCAAATTAGACTGTTTCAATCACACACTTGCTCTTCTCACTCCAGCAAAGACTTGATGCGAAAATTTTGACTTCATGAAGTCATATGGCCTCTATACTATATGCACCAAGAAGATCTAACCTTTCATGCGCAAATAATTTTATTTTGGATGTAAGTGCTATTGGCCATACTCAAATAAGCTAAAATTGTCTTTAGAAATCGCGATGAACTTGACCGTTCGAAAACGTAGGATATTTTAAAACCTATACTAGGAAGCTTATACAACCTTATACGGGTATGCTTAGAAATACTAAATAGGGTACGAATTTTTTTTTATTTGTAGGGGTACGAATTTTCCAGGGATACGAAATTTCTAGAAGTATCAATTCATTTGGGGTACGAACTTACCGCAACCTTATAAATGCGCTGTCAAATATTTATATAGTCACTTCATACAAATAGTCACAACACTAACAAAAGCACTAACCAAAGGTATGATGTCTTTCACCAATGTATGATCAAGTTGAGGATATTATGGCAAACTCCCACACTCCAGTGGGAACACAATCGCAGAACCTGAACACCTGATGCATCGTCTCTCACGACGATCATAGGTTACTCACGACCTTGTCTAACCACAGCTATGAAACTGAAATTCAAACAGACAAAGAATATAATTTAGCTAGGGTAAGAGTATTCGTTGTCATGACAGTCATCACTCTTGTTTGTGAACATAACGTTCTGTCAGTCCCGAGGTCAACTCCATGCATTGCTGTGGCCGCTTATCGCAGTGGGGAGCTGTGACTGGTGGCAGCAAAGAGCTCCGCGAACAGGCATCGCCGTGAGGAGTTTGTGCAAGTACAGGAACTTGTCTCAGACACTTGTGGGACAAAATTCTTCATTTTGACGGAAGTATGTGCATTGTAGATGTGTGGTAGTCTACAATGAATGAAAGACAATACTGCCCGACCTGGGAAATAGGGAGACGTTCCCAGAGGTAAGCAGCAGCAACATGGTCTTGAGAAGTCGAAACGGCGCCTGGTCGACACAACACACACAGCACACACACAATTTAGGGAACAGTTCAAAAGTTGGATGTGGGATTAAAACGTTTTTGACACCATAACGCGGTATGTGATAATGTCTCCCAGACTAAGCTTATTCACGGGAGTGGTACCGGTAGTTTGTTCTTGAATATCAGCACAAACCATATATAAATCTGGTACATTACACCTGAAAATAACGTATTTAGATCTATGTCAGTCACATCAGGGTCAGCCAAAACATCTCCCAAATGTTCGAAAGCAATCTCACAGGATCGATTCCATCCCTTGAAAGTTGGAATATTTTCTTCAACTTGTGACATCATAAGTCTCTGTCAGGTTTGACCTACATTACCTGTGTATTGTAGTCCCAGGTGATTCCACTGTCATCATCATATGTCTGTCTTGACCCGTGAAGATCCGTGTGGAGAAATGGTCTTCAGCAACCCATGCTTGCTGTAAGAGGAGCCATTGGTCAGGCTGCTGACTTTGTTGATGCATGCCATCTTACCTCAATTGCATAGATCGATACTCATGATGTCAATCACAGGATTGTCTGGTCCAGACTCAATTATATACCAACCACCACCATTTAGGAGGAAGATTGCCGAGTGCAGCATTAAACAAACAAGCAAACAAAAAACATCATACATCTGTATCTTGTCGCCCTACATTACCTGTGTGTTGTTGGTGATTCTACCTGTGTCATTGTAAGTCTCAGTCTGGTTGCCTTACATTACCTGTGTGTTGTAGGTGATTCTACCTGTGTCATCGTAAGTCTCAGTCTGGTTGCCTTACATTACCTGTGTGTTGTAGGTGATTCTACCTGTGTCATCCTAAGTCTCAGTCTGGTTGCCCTACATTACCTGTGTGTTGTAGGTGATTCTACCTGTGTCATCCTAAGTCTCAGTCTGGTTGCCCTACATTACCTGCGTGTTGTAGGTGATTCTACCTGTGTCATTGTAAGTCTCAGTCTGGTTGCCCTACATTACCTGTGTGTTGTTGGTGATTCTACCTGTGTCATCGTAAGTCTCAGTCTGGTTACCTTACATTACCTGTGTGTTGTTGGTGATTCTACCTGTGTCATCCTAAGTCTCAGTCTGGTTGCCCTACATTACCTGTGTGTTGTAGGTGATTCTACCTGTGTCATCATAAGCCTCAGTCTGGTTGCCCTACATTACCTGCATGTTGTAGGTGATTCTACTTCAGTCTGGTTGCCCTACATTACCTGTGTGTTGTTGGTGATTCTACCTGTGTCATCAGTCTCAGTCTGGTTGCCCTACATTACCTGTGTGTTGTAGGTGATCTTACCTGTGTCATCATAAGTCTCAGTCTGGTTGCCCTACATTACCTGTGTGTTGTTGGTGATTCTACCTGTGTCATCATAAGTCTCAGTCTGGTTGCCCTACATTACCTGTGTGTTGTAGGTGATTCTACCTGTGTCATCATAAGTCTCAGTCTGGTTGCCCTACATTACCTGTGTGTTGTAGGTGATTCCACCTGTGTCATCATAAGTCTCAGTCTGGTTGCCCTACATTACCTGTGTGCTGTTGGTGATTCTACCTGTGTCATCATAAGTCTCAGTCTGGTTGCCCTATGTACCTGTGTGCTGTTGGTGATTCTACCTGTGTCATCATAAGCAGCGTTAGAAATTGGCACTAGTCCTGTAGTCCTTACCAAACTTCCCCAAAGTAAAGGTATCCTAAGGACATGTAGAAATTGACCCATTTTAAGGGTTTTGCTATATGTTATCATAATAAGGATGAGTGGACAAAAACTGTTAGTTTCTAACCCTGGTAAGTCTCAGTCTGGTTGCCTTACATTACCTGCGTGTTGTAGGTGATTCTACCTGTGTCATCATAAGTCTCAGTCTGGTTGCCCTACATTACCTGTGTGTTGTTGGTGATTCTACCTGTGTCATCCTAAGTCTCAGTCTGGTTGCCCTACATTACCTGTGTGTTGTTGGTGATTCTACTTGTGTCATCATAAGTCTCAGTCTGGTTGCCTTACATTACCTGTGTGTTGTAGGTGATTCTACCTGTGTCATCCTAAGTCTCAGTCTGGTTGCCCTACATTACCTGTGTGTTGCAGGTGATTCTACCTGTGTCATAATAAGTCTCAGTCTGGTTGCCCTACATTACCTGTGTGTTGTAGGTGATTCTACCTGTGTCATCATAAGTCTCAGTCTGGTTGCCCTACATTACCTGTGTGTTGTAGGTGATTCTACCTGTGTCATCATAAGTCTCAGTCTGGTTGCCTTACATTACCTGTGTGTTGTTGGTGATTCTACCTGTGTCATATGTCTCAGTCTGGTTGCCCTACATTACCTGTGTGTTGCAGGTGATTCTACCTGTGCCATAATAAGTCTCAGTCTGGTTGCCCTACATTACCTGTGTGTTGTAGGTGATTCTACCTGTGTCATCATAAGTCTCAGTCTGGTTGCCCTACATTACCTGTGTGTTGTAGGTGAATCTACCTGTGTCATTGTAAGTCTCAGTCTGGTTGCCCTACATTACCTGTGTGTTGGTGATTCTACCTGTGTCATCATCAGTCTCAGTCTGGTTGCCCTACATTACCTGTGTGTTGTTGGTGATTCTACCTGTGTCATATGTCTCAGTCTGGTTGCCCTACATTACCTGTGTGTTGCAGGTGATTCTACCTGTGCCATAATAAGTCTCAGTCTGGTTGCCCTACATTACCTGTGTGTTGTAGGTGATTCTACCTGTGTCATCATAAGTCTCAGTCTGGTTGCCCTACATTACCTGTGTGTTGTAGGTGAATCTACCTGTGTCATTGTAAGTCTCAGTCTGGTTGCCCTACATTACCTGTGTGTTGGTGATTCTACCTGTGTCATCATCAGTCTCAGTCTGGTTGCCGTACATTACGTGTGTGTTGTAGGTGAATCTACCTGTGTCATTGTAAGTCTCAGTCTGGTTGCCTTACATTACCTTTGTGTTGTTGGTGATTCCACCTGTGTCATTGTAAGTCTCAGTCTGGTTGCCTTACATTACCTGTGTGTTGTAGGTGATTCTACCTGTGTCATCATAAGTCTCAGTCTGGTTGCCTTACATTACCTGTGTGTTGTAGGTGATTCTACCTGTGTCATCCTAAGTCTCAGTCTGGTTGCCTTACATTACCTGTGTGTTGTAGGTGATTCTACCTGTGTCATTGTAAGTCTCAGTCTGGTTGCCTTACATTACCTGTGTGTTGTAGGTGATTCTACCTGTGTCATCATAAGTCTCAGTCTGGTTGCCTTACATTACCTGTGTGTTGTTGGTGATTCTACCTGTGTCATCCTAAGTCTCAGTCTGGTTGCCTTACATTACCTGTGTGTTGTAGGTGATTCTACTTGTGTCATATATCTCAGTCTGGTTGCCCTACATTACCTGTGTGTTGCAGGTGATTCTACCTGTGTCATCCTAAGTCTCAGTCTGGTTGACTTACATTACCTGTGTGTTGTTGGTGATTCCACCTGTGTGTTGTAGGTGATTCTACCTGTGTCATCATAAGTCTCAGTCTGGTTGACTTACATTACCTGTGTGTTGTAGGTGATTCTACCTGTGTCATCATAAGTCTCAGTCTGGTTGCCTTACATTACCTGTGTGTTGTAGGTGATTCTACCTGTGTCATCCTAAGTCTCAGTCTGGTTGACTTACATTACCTGTGTGTTGTAGGTGATTCTACCTGTGTCATCATAAGTCTCAGTCTGGTTGCCTTACATTACCTGTGTGTTGTTGGTGATTCTACCTGTGTCATCATAAGTCTCAGTCTGGTTGCCCTATGTACCTGTGTGTTGTTGGTGATTCTACCTGTGTCATCCTAAGTCTCAGTCTGGTTGCCTTACATTACCTGTGTGTTGTAGGTGATTCTACTTGTGTCATATGTCTCAGTCTGGTTGCCCTACATTACCTGTGTGTTGCAGGTGATTCTACCTGTGTCATCCTAAGTCTCAGTCTGGTTGCCTTACATTACCTGTGTGTTGTTGGTGATTCTACCTGTGTCATCATAAGTCTCAGTCTGGTTGCCCTACATTACCTGTGTGTTGTTGGTGATTCTACCTGTGTCATAATAAGTCTCAGTCTGGTTGCCTTACATTACCTGTGTGTTGTTGGTGATTCTACCTGTGTCATCATTAGTCTCAGTCTGGTTGCCCTACATTACCTGTGTGTTGTTGGTGATTCTACCTGTGTCATCATAAGTCTCAATCTGGTTGCCTTACATTACCTGTGTGTTGTAGGTGATTCTACCTGTGTCATCGTAAGTCTCAGTCTGGTTGCCCTACATTACCTGTGTGTTGTTGGTGATTCTACCTGTGTCATCATAAGTCTCAGTCTGGTTGCCCTACATTACCTGTGTGTTGTTGGTGATTCTACCTGTGTCATCCTAAGTCTCAGTCTGGTTGCCCTACATTACCTGTGTGTTGTTGGTGATTCTACCTGTGTCATCCTAAGTCTCAGTCTGGTTGCCTTACATTGCCTGTGTGTTGTTGGTGATTCTACCTGTGTCATCCTAAGTCTCAGTCTGGTTGCCCTACATTACCTGTGTGTTGTTGGTGATTCTACCTGTGTCATCGTAAGTCTCAGTCTGGTTGCCTTACATTACCTGTGTGCTGTTGGTGATTCTACCTGTGTCATCATAAGTCTCAGTCTGGTTGCCCTACATTACCTGCGTGTTGTAGGTGATTCTACCTGTGTCATCATAAGTCTCAGTCTGGTTGCCTTACATTACCTGTGTGTTGTTGGTGATTCCACCTGTGTCATCATAAGTCTCAGTCTGGTTGCCTTACATTACCTGTGTGTTGTTGGTGATTCCACCTGTGTCATCATAAGTCTCAGTCTGGTTGCCCTACATTACCTGTGTGTTGTTGGTGATTCTACCTGTGTCATAATAAGTCTCAGTCTGGTTGCCCTACATTACCTGCGTGTTGTAGGTGATTCTACCTGTGTCATCATAA